TAGCTGAGCCAGACTGCTAGGGCCATCAACTTGACCAGACTCCATTATTCTGTTCTTAAGGTTCACCAGGTATGAAGATTAGGCTCCCAGCTTATTAGCTACCCGTGACCCTAATACTGACGTAACCTAACCCTCAACCCTCCGGGGAATGTTAGGGTGGTTAATATTAAGGTGAAAGAAGGTGAAGGAGCTGATCTTCAGGTGATCCGTTTCATCGTCTGCTATAGTAGAGTGTACTGTACATGTACAATTGTACAATAATACTCCAGTTAAGATTGCCGGCATTGTGCCAGAGAAACTTAACCAGACAGCGTGGACCGTCACTCGTGATCAGATGTTTTAATAAGCTAATACAACATTCTCAAGTCCACGAGGGCTAACGGCCTGCACCGTGCCTCTAAGAACCTCAACCCTAGTGTCACGGTTGATTGATAGTGGCGCTGCTGCCTAGACTAATATAATGTTGTGTTGTGGAGGATGATAATCTGTTGTGGAGGATGATAATGATGTGTTGTGGAGAATGATACTGTGTTGTGTGGGATCATAATGATGTGTTGTGGAGGATGATAATGATGTGTTGTGTAAAATGATAATGGTGTGTTGTACTGTGTAGGATGATAGTGGTGTGGTGTGATGATGAGCATGTTAGTGTTGCATGGTAGAGGGATAATAAACATTACAGAAGACACTTGGCCAAACACAACTTTGGGGAGCACAAGAAAACTTCATTCAGTACTCACCAACATGGGTGCATGGAAGTACAGTACTCCATATAGCTCAGGGGTGGCCAGACTTTCGTGTGTCTGGGTCTACTTTTCCATGGTTATCCAGCACAATTTTTCTAACTTCCAGCAGGTAATAGATATATTTTGAGTCTTAATGAAGAGAGAGAGAGAGAGAGAGAGAGTAACCAATAATAAAATGTAATCATACATCTAAGAACAGTATGAGGAAGAACATAGTTTACTGATGTGATGATTTGCACTGCATGGAGTCAGCAAGCTCTGTGCAGGTTCCCAGCAGGTGAAATTTAGTGGATTGTTATGTTAGCGGTACCATTTTCTGTGATTAATTAAATATTCCCCAAATTATTTAAATTCATCCTTCCTTGCTCCCAAAGGCGTTTTACCGCTATGCAAAGTCAAAATTAAAAACGCGCATAGAAGTATCAGACCTGAGGCTTGAAGATAGTAGTTACGCAGATTCTGACAAGGATAAAGCTGACGCATTGAACAGCTTCTTTTCCTCGGTGTTCACAAGAGAGGATGCGATTAACTTTCCTGCGTTTGAGGACAGACGGTTCGACACAACGCTGACCCACATTGTGTTCACAGAAGAGGATATTAGAAATAAACTGTCAAAGTCAAAGGTCCATAAGAGTCCCGGCCCTGACATGGTGCATCCCAGAGTGCTAAGAGAGTTGTGCAACGAGCTTGCTGAGCCCCTGAAGATCCTGTTTTGTAAAGGCCTGGATGAACAAAAGGTCCCCAGTGATTGGAAAGTGGCTTATGTGAGACCTATCTTCATTTAGGGCGATCGTCACTCCACGAACAACTATAAACCGGTGAGCCTGACCAGCATAATATGTAAAGTACTTGAGAGTATTATTATCGGAGATTCCGCGATGGAACATCTTCAACGAAACAACCTTGTAAAGGCCAGTGGATACCCCTCATCCCTTTGTAATTTCCCATGTAATATTTGCACCTTGGCCTGGTCTTATCTTGAACTAGGTATCAGTTAAATCTGAATGACAACACTATATGGTGACTGGTGCCAACTGAGGCAAGGTGTTCCAGTTTGGTCACCATACCCTCTTCGTTTGTTATGATGAGGTATAGTGGCTTGGGTGTTTGCTCCCCCTGTAATGTGTCGGGTCTCTTAACATGTTGGAACAGAAAGTTATCTCAGAGTTTCTACAAAAAGAGTAGCAGGGTTATTAAAGTCATTTGGGGTGAGCTCGTTTCTCCAGTCGATGTCGCTATAGTTAAAGTCCCCATGATAAGGAGGTGGCTAGGGTTGTAGGGTTGAGCTCGTTTCTCCAGTCGATGTCGCTATAGTTAAAGTCCCCATGATAAGGAGGTGGCTAGGGTTGTAGGGTTGCCATATCTGAACATTAAAAAAAAGAGGACGTTCCCGAACCATCCTGCCCCCACCCGGCACATACTTTGGCGCTATAAACTTGAAGCAGCTGTGACAATTAATTTTGCATATTGACTTAGCATATATATATATATATATATATATATATATATATATATATATATATATATATATATATATATATATATATATATATATGCTGATAACCACAAGGAAAGAAGAAAACACGAAGTTCCCAAGCGCTTTCGTGCAATTCACATCTTCAGGGGTGAGTACAGACTAAGGAGAAGTACAAAACAAGGTGTATATATACAGAGGGGGTCCAGTGGAAGCCATTATGTAGAAAGAAAAGACAAAACCGGTTCCTGTGCACGAGTTAATATAAGTGGGGACAGTGAGACTGACTGCTCCAGTGCTTGTCAAGTCTGGTCTTGAAAGAGCTCACACTCGGTACCGTCACAACACTCTCTTCTCTGGCAGACTGTTCCAAGAGTTCACAACTCTCACTCCGAAAAAGTTACCCCTCACAGTTTTCTGGGATTGCGGCTTCTTCAACCTTACTGACGCGGTGGAGAGCGTGGGTGGCAGAGGTGGCAAGGATAACTAGACCAATCACAGAGCGCGGTGGAGGGGGTGCGTGGATGGTAAGGATACGTGGCCCAATCACAGTCCGCGACGTCACCGGCGCGAGTCTGAGCGCCCAGCACCTTGCCCTGCCGCTTGCCGCGTATATGATGGCATATAACGTGTAAATAATAATTATCTCTTCTGAACAGGTGCTGCGTAAATGGCCGTCTGAGTAAAAAATATCCTCGTAAAACCAGATTACTGTAAATATATATATATATATATATATATATATATATATATATATATATATATATATATATATATATATATATATATATATATATATATATATATATATACAGTAGTACCCCGGTCAATAAAACCCACAGGGTACTGTGTTAAGTGAAAACCGCGCGAAGTGAACAACAGAACGTATGGGATTAATTCCAATAGAAACTGGCCCGATCCCCAAACTCCACTTTTTCCAACACAATACCTATGTTCTAGTAAAAATAACATCTTAATTTTATGATGGTACATGCACACAATTAATACTTAAGAGAAATAGAGAAATACAGTCGCCAAGTTAATGTCCATTCAAATAATGGACTCAACTCCCTCCCCCTCTTCTCAGAAATTTTGGGGGGAAAACCACTAAATTTTAATAAATAATACCTCAAACTAAAGTTAGGATAATACAATTGACATTGCTGGATTCCTTGTAAGACCAGGAATATTTTGAATATAAATGTCATATATTTTGCACAAAAGATAACATATTTACTGAGAGTAAACATTATATCTAAAATTTGTATGTCTAATGCAAAATCTATGATGTTTATATTCAAAATGATCACCAAATTGTAAGAATTTCAGCAATGTAAATTATATTCTGGCCGGGTAATTTGTATGAATTTTATGAGCTAAAACAAATATCTTCAGTTAATGAAAAAAAAAATATTCTTCACGACACTATCTGTCAATCAAAGTACCCCACCTTGCCTCCTCCCCCTCTTCCAACCGCGCGGTCAGTCCCAACCCTCCCCCCAACCCCCCACCAATCCTCCCTTCAAGAGATGTTGGGTGAAAAAACTAAATTTTAACATTTTGTATTAAATAATACCTCAGATTAAAGTTAGGATAATATAATTGACATTGCTGGATTCCTTGTAAGACCAGGAATATTTTGAATACAAATGTCATATATTTTGCACAAAAAAATAGCATATTTACTCAGAGTAAACATTATATCTAAAATTTGTATGTCTAATGCAAAATCTATGATGTTTATATTCAAAATGATCACCAAATTGTAAGAATTCCAGCAATGTAAATTATATTCTGACCGGGTAATTTGTATGAATTTTATGAGCTAAAACAAATATCTTCAGTTAATAAAAAAAAAAAATATTCTTCACACAGTAACAGATGGTCGGTGGTCCCTCCCTCCCCCCCACCCCCCACCAACCGTCCCAAGGAGATGTGTGGGAAAACCAGAATATTTTTAGTAATAAATAATACCTCAAACTAAAGTTAGGATAATATAATTGACATTGCTGGATTCCTTGTAAGACCAGGAATATTTTGAATATAAATGTCATATATTTTGCACAAAAGATAACATATTTACTCAGAGAAAACATTTTATCTAAAATTTGTATGTCTAATGCAAAATATATGATGTTTATATTCAAAACGATCACCAAATTATAAGAATTCCAGCAATGTAAATTATATTCTGGCCGGGTAATTTGTATGAATTTTATGAGCTAAAACAGGCAGTCAGGCAGGGTGGTGGGGCAAATCTAAAATAGCTCGAGCCGACACTCACCACGTATATGTGGAAAAAATCCGTGTTAAGTGAAAGTTCAGTTTGGCAGGTAATACTGTGTGTATATATATATATATATATATATATATATATATATATATATATATATATATATATATATATATATATATATATATATATATATATATATATATATATATATATATATATATATATATATATATATATATATATATATATATATATATTGCTTCTTTTTTCTTTAAGATATTCAGCATTTCTAGTTAAAAGATAGTGAATCATAATGATTATTATTTCCATAATATTTTTGTTTAATTATCAAACTTATGACAATAGAGTGGTCCTCAACAGTTCCCCCAATATAATAAAGTATTTCATTGATTTTACTCGTACAAATCTCTCTAAATGAAAATTTCAGCATCAAAAATATCAAAGCTGATGAACAGTGAACATTTACCATAATTTTATTAATTTATAAACACATATTATAATACTGTAAGTTGTTTTCCCACAGGCATTGTCATGGTGGCAGACGTTGAGAACCAGAAGACACCACTTGTGACAGCCATGGAGCTGCAGTCACTTAAGGCAGGTGATGTCAACACTTTCCTGGAGGGTGATGATGACCCTGGCATACGCAACTTGATTCAGAAATGGGGCGCAGCATCAGTGTGGCGACCCCTCCTTAGTGATGACCAAGCAGCCCATCAGACAACCTCACTTCATGTTGCTGCTAAAAAGGGAGCACTTAAATGTTTACAGGTTTTATTAGATGCCAATCCACCTAAAGATGTTCTTGATGCCCCAGATCATGATGGAAGAACACCACTCTTGGTGGCAGTCTCTGAAGCACAGGCGGAAGTTGTTGAAAAGCTCCTCAATGCTGGAGCTCATATTAACGCTCGTAATGATAAAGGTCAGACTGCGCTTCACATCTTGACCTTTGCCATATCTAAAGGGGTTAAAAATGATGGAATTTTAGATAAAATAACAGACTTACTCTTATCTCATAAGGACATTGATTTGGAACCTCATGCAGAACTCACACCACTAGCTGTAGCTGCATCAAGGTTACCTCAAGGTGACGGGGCTCCTAGAAGAGGTGGTCTTATCAAATTTTGTAAAAAAATGGTAAATGCTGGTGCTTCTCTTCAGGAAAATGGAGGGGATGGCACTATTGAGGAAATTCTACAAGGCAAACGAGCCCTTCCTTCCATCCTGATGGGTGGTGATCGCTGTCCTGCACCTAGAAGACCTGCAGCATCAGAATTCCTTGATATGGTATTAATGGGAAGCGGTATACAGGATATACAGGTGTTCTTGCAAAATAAATCTGCTGAAGATGCTCGTGCTGCAGTCAATAGTCGACTTGGTAAACAAACTCTACTTTTCTATGCTGCTAACATTAGCAATGAATCATTAATTAAAACATTAATTGAGGCCGGTGCAAATGCTTGGGCATTTGAAATAACACATGAACTGCCCATTCATCGTGCTGCTGCCCGAGGGCACTTATCTATTTTCAATCGTATCATTGATCATATGAAAGGGGACAAGAGATCAGTAGATCTCAGAGAATATACTGTTAGTATTGTCCAAAAACTGATGGAGAACAGTAAAAAACAAAAAGTACCTTCTCCTGACATTAGCCATTTAGATTGTTTACGAAGATTAATGCAAGACGATGTTCTCTTGAATGTCAACCAGGAATGGATGGGTAAGACTGTACTGCATGTGGCTGCATCTTTTAATAATCAGGAGGCCATGAGTGTGCTTTTGTGTAAGGGGTCATTCCTTGGTGCTCGCCAAACAATAGCAGGCAAGACCCAAGGTATTATCCTGGAATCAATTCTTCCAGCAACTCTGGAACGAGCTATGGATGGCTGTATTACACACCAGCCAGCAAACAGAGATGACGGTGAACCAGAAAATGTTCTAAATGAGGAATACACATTGAAATTGGACTTTCATTTTCTCTTACCTCCAGTCAATGATGATATAAAGAAAGAGGTAAAAAGTACTAATGAAGTAGAAGCACTGATGGACATTAATAGGAGTAAAAGGCACCGACAAACCATAAAACATCCACTCGTACAGTGTCTGTTGTATGCAAAGTGGCGGAAGGCTCTACCTCTTTACCTTCTCAATCTAGGACTTTACTTCTTCTTTGTCATTATGCTTACAGGATTTGTTTATAGTATGAAAGATTTGCGTGTACTTGAAGCTCAGGCAAAAATGGCTGGCAATTCTGGATCTTCCAATACTACTCTGGATCTGGAAGAACAGATATTAAGTCAACAAACAACAGTGCATTGGCTCATGGGATTCCTTATCCCACTCACTATATACATGATTATAAGGGAGGCATTCCAAGTTTTCTACACCAGGGAAGTCTACCTTAAGAATATTGAGAACTACTTAGAAATATTTTTAGTTGTGGTTGTGGTCGTTCTGTGGTGCACAACACTTGGCGCCGACGTCACCCGCCACCTTGCTGCTTGGGCTATGATTGTTGCCTGGTAAGTTGATTTCATCTATGAGCTCATTGTTAGTTGTTTTGTAAAATGTTTATAATTGGGCAATGTAGGAGTCATATATGTTAAATTAACATTCTGCAGTGTATTAAGCCATAGATTACTGTACTTTATACAATAATATGAAATGTACAAATACAAATACTGTAACAACGTAATTTGCAGGTACGAGTTCGTGCTTATTCTTGGTCGAGCTCCCCCCCTTGCCATCTACATTACAATGCTTCGACATGTCTCGTGGAACTTCCTAAAGCTCATCTTCTTGTATGGTGCCCTCATTCTAGCTTTCACCATAAGCTTCAACATCATCCTACAACCTACTACTGATGGGCAGGTAAATTTAACAGTCATTACCTTGAATAGTTTTAAATGGTCATATACTCATAATCATGTTATTTATTCTGATAATTTTGTTTCATTAATTTAAGTGTATATAATAACAGTTTTTCTTATTTACCGGGTAACATTTCACTGCATATACAGTACTGTAGATTTGCATATACTACTGTACATTATTAATCCATCTGTTCAGTGTATACAGCGTACTTCCTTTCCACCCTATGTGGTGAGCAGGATTACACAAGAAATATCTTAACATAGAATAGGATTCTATATATGCATCCATTGTTTACTTGCATAGATTTTCAAGCTGTTTGATTTATTCCTACATTGTTTCTAAATTTTTCTGTAGTTCAGAATTTCAGAATTTTGGTTAGTCTGGACGCATATACCTGTCCATACAATACAACTTGTAATTGGTTTTTTAAACTCACTTCACAATATCTATTTTATTATCAGGATTCAGACTTCAGTAATTTCTGGTCAACACTGCCAAAGGCAATCGTAATGGCAACTGGTGAATTTGAATACTCAGACCTGAGTGAGCAGTTCTCTCGCAAGTTGCTGTTCTTCACGTCGGCCATACTTATCTTCCTTCTCTTCCTATTCCTGATTTTTCTGGTCCTCATGAATGTTATGAATGGACTGGCAGTCACAGACACACAGGTGAGTTCACTACACTGTCGCAAGTACACTCTCTCTCTCTCTCTCTCTCTCTCTCTCTCTCTCTCTCTCTCTCTCTCTCTCTCGTATATATATATATATATATATATATATATATATATATATATATATATATATATATATATATATATATATATATATATATATATATATATATATATTCTGTATATATATATAGTGTATGTGAGCACAACCTTTTTTATATTGGTGGACTAGCCTATCAGCTGATGCTCACAACAAAATGTGTTTGTCGTAAGGATTTCGTTAATCGAAGTTTTGTTCGTTAACCAAATTGAAGATCCTTATGGGAGCTAATTCGTTAACCGAAATTTCGTTAATCGAACCGTTCGTTAGCCGAGGGACCACTTTATATACAGTATAATGGCTGAAAAACATAGTATTGCATAATGATGATTATGTTTTTAATAGAAAAGTGGAGGGGATTGCTGCTGCTGGGAATGTATGGAAACGGAGTGACTGAAAGAAATGTGCTCAGAGATATTGGGAAATACATGAATCCATAAGAAAGAAATTTATATTTTTACTTGGAGGAAGAATAGAGGATTGTTAGACTATATGTTGATGGATAGAAGAATGAGATGTAAATTGATTAATATAATTGTCTTACAAGGGATTACCGGTACCCACACAGTGTCTTTTTTACTTGTTACTTTCATCCTGTTTACCACTGATAGGTTCGTTAGCTGCTTGGGCGATCGGTTACGTCTCTGTTACACACTGTTGGCAAGTACTGGGCATGCACTGACCATTACTGTACCTTATAGAAGCAGGATTAATAGTGAATGGAAAATTTAGGGTAAAAGAGATTCTGAAAAAAGGAGTAAAATAGAGAGCCAAGGAAAAACAGTGTAAATGAAAAGTTTTAAGGATTGAATTACTGTATAGAAAAAGTGGAAACAACTATATTGGGAAAGGATGAAGACGAAAGAAAATAGGGCAAGAGTTCAGCCTTAAAAATGCAACTGAAGTGTATGGTTGGGTACACGGATTCAGAGAGGACAAACAAAAAGAAAGAATGGAGGGATATGAAGTTGACTAAATTCATTAAGGTGAGGAGAAAAGTATGTGAGAATCATCTGAGGAGTGACAAAAACTGGAGTACAGGAATAGTGGGAGGTAAGTGAAGAGAATGGTGAGAGAGTGTACAAGAGTAGTAAATGAAATATGAGAGAAAGGTTGTTCTGAGGTTTTAAAGAAAAGAAACTGTTCTGGAGGAAACTATATAGGATGAGAAAACCAAGAGTCCTTATGGAAATAGTAGATAAGATTTAAGAGGGGTACAGTATATTGTATTAAAAAAAATGTGGTCAAACTATAATGGAGAGGGAAAGAAATTTTGCATAACTGCTAAATACAACAGATGAGAAACAGGCAGAATTATTCTATTTCATAAATGGTGGATTGAATATTGTCAAAGCAAAATTGAGAGGAGAAAATAGTATTTGTTATTTTTTGCTGCATCGAATTACCTGTACAGTTACAGTATATGCTTTCACCCTTTGAGTTTTTTATTTATTAATATACTGTATTGACATTCTGAAATAAACATACAAATTTTTTGAAAAATAAATGTAGGCCATAATGCGTAACAATGATGATAATATGTCAGACTAATTTTATTGGTATTTTTCAGCAAGTGGTAGATGATGCCAAACTCTACTCCCTTACTTCACGCCTGGAACTCGTCTACCTCACTGAATCTTTGTTCCTTAGTTGTCCAGGCTTGAGGTCTTATGTTGACAAAATTCACCTACTGTCAGGATGCAAGTACAGGCCCATTCTGTTTGCACAGATTAATAAGCCCAAGAAAGAAGAAAGACTCATATCTGGGAAAAACAAAGAATTCCTTAGTAAACTGGATGATGACACAGCTGATTGCCTCAGGTAGGCTCAACCATGTCTAAGTTTGACAGTAGATTTAAGCGATATAGTTTTGAAGCATTTTAAATTAATGTTAATGCTAAATATTCGCTAGCTATAATGTGCAAGTTAATGATATGAACAATTGTGTGATGAATATTTCTTTTTCTTTCATCTTTTACATATCAATTATCTTGTATTCCCAATATTCGTGGTTTCTGTACACCCTTGATCTACCCCACAAAGAAGTAAGAAAGGAGTTATGGTAACACATTAAGATTTAAGTTACAAAACAATTATTAAAGGCATTTCCCCCAAGAAATATCTGAAGCTTGTTAGGCCCTATGAAAATTCCTAGGCAGTGATCGAGGGCAGTCTTTTAAAAATTCCTAGCTGGTGATTCATGGAAGAGTTTGTACTTTTTTGCGGTTTGTCTGGACACTGTCCATATTAACAGAGTCCATCAACATGCTTGGATCATCCAGACAATTAACTTATCCAAACACCCCTTCACCCTATTAATCTGGATTAGAGATACAGTATTTGTCTGTATATACAGGGGTATACAGTTCTATACTATTTTTTTTTATTAAATCACTAGTGTACAAGCTAATTGAGATTAATCACTAGTATACAAGCTAATTGAGATTACCTAAGAAATATCTTCATTTTCAAATTACTCAGTGTAAAACTTTAAAGCATTTTTACTTCACATTTTTAAATCATATGTGGTTGTGTTACCAACACCAAAACATTCCTCCAGGTCATGCACCAACATAAATTGGATGCCAAATGTCACAGCTTTAAATAAATTATTGGTAACTGGGAAAAACATAGGGCACAGCCATTCGAAATTCGAAATTGTAGAACAATAACAAATGTGGTGACACATGCACTTGGGTGATCTTTGGAAACACTGATATTGTATTAGTTGGAGTCAGAAATGTAAAGGCATTCAAATTTTTTATGTTTTTGGACTAAATAGCCCATGTGTTGAGAGAGAATTTTAAGTGGATTATCTTTTTACAGGAACATTGATGAATTGCATGAAACAATTTATGATGATTAATTTTTATTGGGATAATACTTATGTTTAAATTGTTAATACACAGAATCCATCGCCTGCAGTGTATAGAAGAAGATCAGAAGAGTTGTGGTGATCCTTTGAACCAGTTCCTCCCTATCTTGCAAGAGTTACAAGATATTGTCAGGAATCATCCTCAACTTGTACAACAAGCTGCATCTACTGTGCACCCTGGAAATTAAGACATAGTTTTTTATGCCTATACAAGGCTATTGGTCAAATATAATTTAATGACAACATCAAGTCTACTGGTGTTGGAATGTCACATTGTAGGGTTATGTGATATTATATTGTCTAGCTCTCAGAATGGATGGATGGAAACTCTAGGTGGTGGTTTTCTTATATAAAATATATTACCGTATATACAAGACAGTCTGGTGCTGGAGATGCCGTGTTGTGAGAAGTTTGGTCAAGAGACATGTTGAGTGAGTAGTGTGCTTGAGGAGGTATCTGTGCAGAAGCTTGGAGATGTTGCATGTTGCTGTCCTCCAGGTTGAATGAGAGCTGGACAGCGAGGAGCTTGCTTGGAGGAGGTGTTGCGTGTTCAGGAACGTAGAGTAGAATGAATCTCACTGGAGAGAATGCAAGCTTATATACACAGCAGCCTGAAGTAAACCCGTGGGAACTCGCCTTGGCGATTCCCCCCCCCCAAACAGCTCGCTTGGTTGCTAGGATACTGTCGCATTGGAATGCGGATGTGGTTGTAGGGGAGAGATCCACTACAACAACATAAAATAAATATTTCACTTGGTTTAGGAAAAAATAAGACTGATATATTTTATTCTGACCTTTAAAATGGTCTTTATGCTTCTGCCACCTAAATGTCTTGGTTGAGTCATGTGTTCACTCTAACAGCCATTTATGATATGCTACTCTGTGAGCACCGAACATCTATTATTAGCTAGAATTTCACTTTAGTGTAGAGAGTGGAATAAATACATGAAGAATCAATGGTCGAGTCCAATATTCTTTGCCTTATGCCATGTACTGTACAGCTTCAAGGTCCCTCCCATAATTCGTGTGCAGTATCTGTTTCCCTTTTTTAACCTTCTACTTCTTTGTTTACCATTCTTCACACCTGTCATTTTGTATTCCACAACCTTTACATACACTCACAGATACAAGACATGCTTTCTCAAATCTTTAGTACATCTTGGAAATTTGCACAACACAGCAGGGCCGGATTCAGGAGTGGGCAAAGTGGGCAGCTGCCCAGGGGCCTCCACATACAGTATTATAATATTTTATTTATTTGTTTATTCATTTGGATTATTTATATTTTCATTCTTTAAAATTCATGTTTATCTATTCCATCACGTAAAACTATGTTCTCAATGTTCTAATTTCCTCAATATAACTGCATATGGCTTCAAAATTCTCCAAAGAAGTGTTCAAATTTCAAAATTTTCCCGGGGGGCTTACAGCGCCCCCCGGAACTCCCAGATGTTTAGGCTCGCTTCACTCACCACCCTACCCTCTTGGGTAGTTATAATGAGGGTGGCCTCCACAAAGAGGCTGCCTATGGGCCTCCACAGGTCTAAATCCGGCACTGCAACACAGTACAGTAGATTGTTTCTCAAACATTCAACATATTACAGAACCAGAATTCACTCTGAATTTCTGTTCCTTTGTATATACCCGGTATGTGACTTAGAGCAACTCAAAGCCATTTTCAAGAAACACTAACTAGCCATAGAAATTCAAGCCATTTTCAAGAAACACTAACTAGCCATAGAAATTCAGAGACCTTCATGGGTAAGTAAATATTTTCTTATATTTCTTGGTTAGACTCATACATGTGAAGAGGGAATTCAGTGCCTGAAGTTTGTATCATATTATGTATTAGAGAAAAAAAGTATATTTAGCCCTCCCGTACGCTTTTGACGGAGAATACATTGTGCCATGATCCCCCGCTCAGGCATTTCCCATAAACACGGGCTAGTTGTGACTAGCCCATATATGAATAATAAGGCTGGTAAATTGAAAAATAAAAATAAAATAAAATTTTTATTCTATTTTTAGTTTTTGCCATTATTTTTTTTATATTTTTATAGTTTTTATTATTACATTGGTTAGTATAAGTTTCTTGGTATGTTACTGTGGTTTAGAATTTAGCAGGAATGTAGTATCTTCTACAATAATACATCTTTGTAATAATATACTGATACCTATATTATAAAACTACATTTTAAAATAATCTTACCTTTTGGTGTGATGGTAGATGCCCAGACATTTATCGTATCCACAGAAGGGGCATTTAATACACTTTTACTTTTATCCTCTTCGCCACTGATCAGCTTGTTAGCCACTTGGGCGATCAGTCACGTCTCTGATTACTTTTCCTTTTCATTTATCTTCTTCACCAAAAGATCGACTTGCTAGCCGCCTGGGCGATCGGTCACGTCTCTGTCACGCACTGTTGGCAAATACTGAGCATGCACCGGCTCCTGAATGTACCTGAACCCGCTCCATCGTTGGTCAAGTCTTGTCTTGAAAGAGCTCACACTCGGTGCCGTCACAACACTCTCGGGTAGATTGTTCCAAGAGTTTATAACCCTCACTCCGAAAAAGTTTACCCTCACAGTTTTCTGGACTTGCGGCTTCTTCGATCTTGAGCTGTGACCCCTTGTGGGGCGAGTGTCTGCCAGCTCCAAGTAAGGACACTCAACTGAGTAGTGCCCCCTGAGATGCTTATACATCTCAACTAGGTCCCCCCTTGCCCGTCTGTAGTATAAGCTAGGCAAGTTCAGGCGCTCCAATCTCTCAGGGTAGCTGAGGTGCCAGAGTGAAGGCACCCGTCTGTGTGGCCCTCCTTTGGACATTTTTATCCAACTGACTGTTTCTAGCACATCTCGGAGACCAGATGGGTTGACAGTAGGCCTTCCCTTACTTAAGAATTATGAGGGACAGACAATCTTTCTATGTATATGGTACTGAATGCCCTTTTTATAAGACTACAGGCACTAGCTTAGTTAATTGATTCACCTTCTTCTCAATGGATCATTTCTCATTTATATTCAAGGATATACTGTACACATTTGTAATTGAAATTTATGTCCACTATTTGCATAGAATTTTGAAAACAACAATACTGTTACTATTAAGTTTTGATCAGAAAACAACTTCAGTAAAAGTCCAAATATCCGGACTGCTTGGGGATTGGGTCGGTCCAGATTTTCAGGCAGTACTTTTAAAATTCAAATTTAAGGAGGAATAAAGAAGAGATGAAAAGGTACAGTCGGAAACCATAATCTCTAGTCCTTTCTGGATGGGGCCCACTCTAACTATCACGAGGCAACACACGCACGAACACACAGTCATAGTACGGCTGTATAGATGATATTATGTACTGTATACTTCACCCGCGTAAAGGGGTACACCCACCGCGGAATGTGAGCATCCTGGGTTCTGGCAGGGCACCGCGTAAACGTGGAAACGCGGAATGTGGGACTGCGTAAAGTGAGGGTTGACTGTATAAGTATTGTATATGGCATGTTATACTCTGCATTATCTTCATTATATATGAACACGAAGAAAAATTACCATAGGTTGTAGTTACGAAAGTATGAATGGAAATAAATACTTCCAAACCACCCAGTGACTCCACACAACGTTTACAGCGCTTGTGTGTGTGTGCCAGACCACGATGCTTCCCATCATTCGCGTAACTATATGAAAAATTGTGTTTAATTTAACTACATATTTCAAAAACCTTAAATTACATGTGGATCAGTCACTCCTCATTTGACACACTTATAGTGTAATACTTTGACCATCCCACCTGGGCACATGGAGGCCCATGGTAACTCTCACGGGGCAACATACACACGAACACACAAGGGTAAGTCATATAATTCATCCTTGCATTTGTTGAGAAGAGTTATATATATATATATATATATATATATATATATATATATATATATATATATATATATATATATATATATATATATATATATATATATATATATATATATATATATATACACACTTTCCCCCACCCTAGCAAACTAGTGAGCATAGCATAACCAAACAGCCTCACAAGGACCAATAGGTCTGTATATAATGTGTGTGCACGCGCTAAAATGACCTAGAATATTTTACTAATGTCTCATTGTCCATGGGTTTTCCTATAGTTTGGCTGTGAGTTTTCTATTTTGTCTACCTGTCAGTTCAACAGGACTGCTAACCATCCTCCCAGCAACTCATATGCCATCCCAGACCCACAGCCAATATGTATGGTGCAAGACCGCAGTCCAATACATACAAGTCGGGCAGTCAAGCGTTGGTTTGAGGCGCACCCGCAGATTATTCTATTGGACTGGCCCCCTAAAGGAGCCGATTGTAATCCAATAGAAAATCTATGGGCGCATATGATTGTTGAATGGGATGTTGAGGAGAAAACGAGGGAGGCAGTGAGGAGACACGCAGATGGAGGTTGGACACGGTATTAACCTATGGGCACGAGGTGTCTCAGTGGTAAGTAGCCTTGCCTCGGTGCCTTGTAGGGGGTGGCGGGTGAGTTAGCTCTCTGGTGTAACCTCGTTGGGGCTACATAGACTTCATTTCCTAACTCTCGGGAATTTGTCCAGGTATTTTACTATGTGGTTTTACATTACTTCACATGAATGTGCTTACAAAATCTATGCATTAATATGCATAACTCTTGGGAATCTGTCCAGACAGTAAATATATGTTATATACTACAATAATCACATAGACATGTTGGCAATGTTTATGCATAATAAATGTGAAAAATATTTTTGGGATTTCAATTAACCAATAGTCATGCCTACAAAACAATCTTGATGCTCTAAGTGCATGTATGTGTTAAATAACGAGTAACTGACCCACATTATTTTGGTAAATAAAGAAATGAAAAGCAAGCACTTAGCCATATGGATATAGTTACACGGAAGAAGGGAAGTAGGGATGAACCATGGTTTTGATGGAAACAATGTGCTCTGGGACGATGCTCACAATGACGAATGGGAGAAACCTCTTTACGAAACATCTTACCTTCTAAGGATGAAGCTTAATGTTACAGAACACACACACACACACACAGTGTAACTTTATGTGACGCGTTGTCTGACTTGGGGGTGGCTTTGAGCCAACCATACACTTTATATTACAATTTATGTATCCTTCCTGTCCATGATTTACAACAATAACTGTAGGGCAAAAGTTACAATATGATACTAATAACACTGTTATGTACTGATACTATGACTAGTTACCAAGATACAGAGCATGATGAACATAACATGATAATGATAGTGAAGCCTGGAAGGGTTCATATCATAACTTGTGTGTTCGTGCGTATGTTACCCCGTGAGAGTTACCATGGGCCTCCATGTGCCCAGGTGGGATGGTCAAAGTATTACACTATAAGTGTGTCAAATGAGGAGTGACTGATCCACGTGTAATTTAAGGCTTTTGAAATATGTAGTTAAATTAAACACGATTTTTCATATAGTTACGCGAATGATGGGAAGCATCGTGGTCTGGCACACACACACAAGCGCTGTAAACGTTGTGTGGAGTCACTGGGT